CAAAAAAAAAAAAAAAAAAAAAAGCTGCATTAATTTTTTGCCATTTGAACTTATGGAAAGACATCATCCTGGTCAGATGAAGGCTTCTGAATTTGTAAAAACCATACGTGACAATTGCATCAATTCAAGCTATCTTTTTAATTCCTTTTAATGAAGTTCTCTAACACTTGCTGTACTATTCTCAATTTCTAAAGATTCTTTAGGGAAGAAAGACCTGAAGGGGAGCTAGGAATTCATCTGCCTCTGGCTCCCTTTGTACCATTGTTAATCTACTCTTTTGACCTATTGCCACAGTTTTATAGACTCTGGGATCGTGTGAGTTGTTCTCCACCTAAAGGAAGAAAGCACAATTATTCCTGTCCTTAATAGCTCCACAAAAGGACAGTTTTAAGTTGCATTTAGGATTTGAGTCTCATCTAGTAGAGGTTGTTAAGGGATAGGTATTGTACTGACTTGACTTAGTCTATAAGATGCAACTCTACCCTGCCTTCTGTCTGCCTTTAGACTACCATGGCTAATTACTTCTCCTGGTTATTATTACCCTTTTTATGGAAAAGTCACTGAAGTGTAGCTCTTCTCTAGTTTAATTAAATGTACCATGTGCTAGTTATGGTATCAGTTAAATGAATTGTGCCAAGAGATTTTTTAAATTTAATTTATTGTTGTTAGAGTTGCTATATTCAGAGACTTGGAGGGGTTTCTTTTGCAATTGTTTTTAAAGTCTGATTACGAATATTTTTTTTTTCTACACTAAGAATTTAAGTAAACTTTTTTGAAAGCATTGCACCAAAATGGAAATTTTAAACTGCTTGTATGTAATATTTAAAACGTGAGCATGTCTTCCCCTAGCAGTTTGATCCAGTATATATAAGAACTTCTTACTACTTGAACCAACTAATAATGATTCCTTCTGGATCAGGAGCTAATGTAAGGTATTGCTGCCAATGTTCCCTTTTCCCAGCCTCCTTCTCAGCTGGGTTTGAGCTGTACTTGACAATCTTTCATATGAGGCTGTATAAAGTCCTTACCTCAATAACTGTTACCTCAGTCAATATTTTCTGTAATACTGCTGAGCAAGGGAAAGTGCATAGATTTAATTTTGATCTTACAATAATTACAGTAATTTTGATCTTACAATAATTATTTTATTTGACTAGGTTGACACTCATGTCAGTTAGAAAGCTGGCCACATTTCCGAGTGCTAACCACTTTTTAAAACTCAAATTAATTAACCTGATTCTTTCATTTAATCTATCATGGCTGATTATGGCATTAACAACAAAAAGTCATTGCTTCTTTTTTGGTATTCATGTGTAATACATACTACTAAAAATCCAGTCAAATCAAGGTTGATGCTCTGAGTGTTCAGATTTCTTTATATATGAATAATGTCCACAATGCATGAAAATTGCATATGTATAATGGGTAAAATAAAGTGCATATAAAAGAGTCTGGATCTTAGCATTATCTTTCTTTCATTGATGTGTTATCTTTCTTCATTTGGCTGCATAAAAATGTTTGTTATTTAACAATTTTAAAACAAGGCCATGTATAGACATTGCACTTTTACCAGTATAAGTGATCAGAAAGTGGTCTATATCTGTAACAGGACAGAGGTTTGGTGCACACAGGGTGCCAAAAATGTTTAGGAGCCCTGCTCTAACTCATAGCACTTTACACACAGTATCATGAGTTAGAGCCTCTGCCCTCCTCCCTCCCTAGCAGATACTTGCCTGTTGGGTTGGAGGCAGTTGAGCCTGCATGCACTAGCCATGGACAGCAGGTGGAGGTGTTCCAGCAGCCTCTGAACCCCCTATCCCCAGCCCTGCAGACACAACCCCACCAGCTCCTGAGCTGTCAGCAGGAGTTGGGTGTAGGGAGTGATGAAGCAGCAGGCAGCTGCCAGCTGGGCTTCACCTGGCTAAAGCCTCTTCCTCTCCTCTCCCACCCCCACTCCCAGCTAGCCTGGCTGGGGAATGGGGGAAGGCAGGCCAGCTATATGAGGCAAGGGGAGGCTCCCTTACCCCACCCCACCCCACCCCACACCTAGGCCTCTTGATAGCACCAAAGTTCCCTCCTCTTCCCCCTCCCCGTGTGTTGTATCAGCTCTGTAGAGCACTTTCAGGGGCTCTGTTGCATGAAAAATGTAATTTATGTAAGTGCCCATAAACTGGTTTAAAAATGGTGAACCTAGTCTAACGTTTGCCACCAAAATGGCAAATGTGTGTTTTGTTTGTTACTGATCCAAACTATGCTGCTTACAGAAAGCCACACAACTCAGAAAGATTCTGCCTATGGCTTTATGAATGTCTGTACCTAACCTTTGTCTGTACAAAGTTAAGAGAGGTGATAGACTGTTGGCCAGATCCTCATCTACATTATGCCCCTTTTGCAGCGCATAAGAAATGTAAAAGGCCATAACATAGTTGCAAATGGCCAACTAATAGTTCCTTCATTACTTCTCTCACTGCCAGATTCTACACCATCAGCCCCTTTTCATCAAATAGGATCATTTCAAAGTAATGCAACAGTGCAGAGTTCTGTTATGCCAGCCCTTTTCTATCGTACTCTCTACACAAATTGATGGTCTGGCAAAAGCAGGGAATCTAGCTGTATAATTCCAATGTCTGTCATGGAAATATATATTCTTTTTTTCTTCTAAAAGTGTAGTTTTTTGAATGTGTCATTAAAACATCCTTAGAATAATTCTCTTTAAATAATAGTTTCTTTTCTAAATGAAGTAATAAAAAACAAAAATGTCTGTAAAATAATAGTTAAAACATCTGTCTTCTGTGTATCTGTTATAAATAACTATTTTGCTTTTCAAATCAGAAATGAAAAACAACCTTTTTTTAAAATGGAAAGAAAATACTCCAGCATGAAGATGTTTTAAGCCATAGAGCACATTTATATGGGATTATATGCTGAAGCACTTTCAAAAAGTGAATTGTGGAATGGTTGCACTATATAGTATGGTAAATAATTGAGTTGTAAACCACTGTGAGTTAGAAGGAAGGATCAAAAACCCTTTGCTGCCAGCCTGAATGATCTTGCCAGACTATTCTGTTACTATTTCCAAAATTATTAATGTTATGATTTTTTTCAGACGAAGTGCAAACATCTAATAACCACTGTTCAAAGCCTCTGCAACATTAACCTGTTTTAATGTTGTGCTTTGTTGGAGCTTATGGGAGTCCAAGTTAAATATCTCAGAAACAACATTGTTTATCTTTTAAGTGGTTATACATAGTAATACGTAATGAAAATACTCACCTAGAGTTGACTATTGGAGATGGGCTTCACAAGGAGTTTCTGTAGCCATTTTCTTCAGTCTTGACTTACATGATTTCATAACTAGTGTTATTTTGAGTTCCAGGATTGAAATATAATAGTAATAATAATAAGTTAATGAAGCTTAGTCAAAGTTGCCAGCTTTCACCTGACTTTACATTCAAGCCATGTAAAGCTTTCATAAAAAAACTGTAAGTCAAGCCAGGCTCACTCAGCACTGGGCCCAGGTTCACTTAAGAAGCAACTGTGAACCCTCAAAAACCTTTTGAAGAATCTAAGCTGAGTTTTCAAGTTAGTAATGAAACCTGTTATCATACAGGCTTCCCATACTCTTGTGTTTCGTTAAGAATATTTTACCCAACTTTCACTTGATTTGTTTTGTGGCTGCTTTAAAAATATATATATTTATTTATTTATCTATTTATTTTAATAGGGCAATATGGCATAATACTTCAAATAATAATTACCAGATAGATAGAATGTTTGTTAGATGCAATGTAAGCAGTGGGAGTTAGCCCCATTGACATTAACTCACAGTAGAAAATATTACAAATAGAAGCAAGGATCAGATGCACAATATTTATGTGGAGAGCCACTGGAAAAGATGCCGCAATGTAGGATAAAGTCCTGGCTTTAGCAGATGATGTGGACTTAGGCGAACCCATTTTCTTCTTTGACACTTTTTTCCTATTGTTGTGTAGTGCTTGAGTGCTGTGGATGACAACAGTAAAAAATAATGCTAATAATTCTTACTGCTTGATAAAACTAGTTTAGGTCTCATTTTATGTTCAGTATACCTGATTATTGTTGGACACTGTTGCATAGTGGTGGATGGTTTCCCAATAAGTTTAGCATCTGTTTAGATGCACAGGTTAGTTTTCAAAGGTAATGTGCATATAATGTAGTGCACTATTAAATGCACATTCTTTAATACCCTTGATGGCAGCAGAGGAGTGGTAAACTGAATGAAAAGTGAGAATATTTTTTAGATTTTTTTTTCACTCTCCTGCCTGTTTGTGGAGATTTAGTATGAATGGAATTCATCTGCATCTCAGGACAGTGCACAGCCTCTTAGAACCCTCTTACACCCTTGAAATAGATCTTAACAATATATCTGAAGAACACAGCACTCATGCTTTGAATGAACGTAAGCAAAATTAATTTGAGATACAGGATTCAAGATGGCACTTCAGTTTGCCAGAGTGATTTTTTTGTTAGCCCTGCACAAATGGATGTATTTAATCTGCTCACAAGTGCATATAGCAGTTCATCAGAGAGGTAAAATGTAAGCCATAGTGTGTTATGATTTTGAAGATCATCTATGTTGAAGCTCCTGTATAAGTAAGATAAAGTGGTAATGGAAGTCTAAATTTTCTTTCTGTTGATCATAATTCTATTGCTGTTGTATTTATATCGAAATAACACATTTTTAACGAGATAAGCAAATACAGCTCAATGTTTTGAATTCTCAGTTAGCACAAAGTGAGAGATCTCTTTGACTGGGATAGTATAACTGAGAATGAGCCCGCATGGTATCTATGCGTTAATAGTGGATGTTATGCATGCAGTAATTTGGTTCATTACTGTTTGCTTAGGGATATATTTCATATTGGCTTACTGCAGCAGTTAGATATGAGTAGGGACTTTTGCTTACAGTTTCCAAACAAAAAATATTTGGTAGGTGAGGCATGATGTGGACGTCATTCCTCAGTAACTTCATTCTGAAATATTTTTGTGGACCATTACAGCCTCACATTTGTGCCTTTCAAGGGGCATTCCAAGGCTTATTTCCATACCCATTTCTATGAGTGTTTTGGTTATTTGTGTTAATTGTGCAAATGTCTATCAATTAATCTTAAGTGAATTCTTTATAAAATGTGGGCACATTCTAATTTACATTTAATTTAGCACTGATATACATGAAACTATAGTCCCATGTAAATTAAAAGATGAATAACATATTTAATATCTATACTGATTCACGTTATGGCCTAAGGAACTTGTGAAATATTTCTCTTGTAGCCAACACTTTTCCTTTCTTTTCTACAGCTAAAATTGACCAAGAAGATGAAGAGAAGTCACTGGCAGAAGCGCACAAAAGGTGAGATGAACTAACACTATAAAACTTGTCTTTTGTAAAATGTGTTTTGTAAACTATATTGCAAGCCAACATTAACATTTTCTGGCTAATGAAAAGTGCATTCAATAAACTCAAGTGATATGCACTTGATCTTGGCTTTATTTTGAACAACACTATAGAAAATCAAAGCAATTTGAGCATACAGTGTGCTTGCAAAACCATTAGAATAACTAGAAAAGTTGTGTATGCCTCCTAAAAATATAGACACGCTTCCTTTGAAAAGGAAAGAAAAAGAAGCAACCAGTGGGATGTGAGTGAGCTGTTGCTCTGCTCAAAATCTTGAATGATTTGATAGAAACATAATACACTACTCCAATCCATTATTAATTAAATACTTACTTCTGCATTTTGTAAAATGGCTACTTTATGAAGAATGGAGGTTTTTAAATATGTATGTATAAAGGATGTGTACGTGGCTTCCACTGTAAGAAATGTACTTAATCTTCAAACAATTTTTGTGATAAAAACAAAACACCTTAAGTACCTTGCATTTCACTACAGATGTGAGCAGCTGTGACAGGTTTCAAACTTGGGAAAATTCCCCAATTTGCTATATTGCATAACTTGTGTTGTTTCCTTTTAGGGGGAAGAGGGGTGGCATTCTCTGAAGTCAGTGTTAACTGGACACAGGATTATTTTTATCAGGCACAACAATGGAAAGTCAGGGACCAAAATAAATATACATATGGGGGGGTGGGGAGGAGGAACAAAAAACATCATTTGTACACCAGATCATCTGATGAAAATTAATGTTTTCCTCTTTCTATTATGGCATGGTTAGTATTCTTTTTGCGTGGTGTTAATGAGTACAATTGGGAACTTCTTTTTAGGGGCAAGCGTAGAGGTTAAATATAACTTTTTGTAGACTTAGCTAGTACATCTTTTAATTTTAACTTGTTATGCCAGGTTTATGTTGATACAAGGGATCTTGGAATTAGCCCATTTAAGAAGCTCTAGAAATCTTATCCCTTTTATTTCACTTGTTAAAAACAAGGAAGGAGTCTATGGCTATGAATAAGCATTCATTTGTAGCAGTACTGAAGTGTCTCTGTACTTTGTAGTACTTCGAACCCATAGAGGCGTTTCATCCGTCATGCTGGAGACCTACAAAATCACTTCAAAGATAAACTCTCCAGTCCGGGAGCAGCAGGGAGCTGCTCTTTGCATCCCTTCTCCCCCACGGGATCCCTGTCACTGCCAGGCTGCCCTCTCTTCTGTCATAGGAGGGAACAGATAGTCAATGAACCGCTGATTGTTGCTGAAAGCAGTAGGTGCCAAAGAGCACCCCTGCTCCCTCCAACGTGGATCCCTCCTCTCCCCTGCCATTCCTGTTAGTGACACTGCCAGAGCCCCAGTGGAGCTCAGGCAGTGGGAACTTCCATACCCTAACCTTACCTAACCCTTAGCAATTTGTTTCTGAAATCGCACAAGAAGTTAAACTTCAAGCTTGATATCCTTTTGTGACTCAATTCATCCCCTCTCACAGTAAAATCCAGAGTAGGTAGCTCTGGAAAGTGTTTTTTCTGGATCCCTATCAGCCTGTTTGGTCAAGTGATTTGCATCTCCCTTTAGAAGAGGGTTCAGATCTGATTGATTCGCAAGGATGCTGGGGAGTCTGGAATCTGTCCAGAGACTGGACGGGTTCCTGTGGTGTCAGGATGGTTCCTTTCCCTGCTTCTTTTCCAAAATGACTCCCTTAGAGAGCCTCTAAAACTCTCTCCCTAATGCTACATTCAGTGTCCATTTTGGCTGTGGGGAGAACAGCAGTATGACCATCCTTCTGGTCCTTTCTTTGGCTTTGTCTCCTTTCCCACTAACCCAATCTCTCCATCAGCTATGCAGAATCTAGAACCCACATAGCAGCCTCCACAAGGGTTGTTAGGGACGGCAATTTTGGTTCTTAAGACCCCCTGTATGCATGTACTTAAAAAAGATAATTTAGACTTAGTCATCCTTATGTTTTGTAGTGAGGGTACATCTGAGATCCCAAGATCTCATAGATTTTATATTTAAGACTGGATTTGTGCTCACCACTCACTAGGCAAAGAAAAAGAGATTTCTCTTTTTCTCTTTCTTTATAAATTTCCACTGGTGAATTCTTTCATTCTGTAGGATAAAAGCATTTTCTATGATTGTGAATGCCATTTTTTTTAATTGAATACATTTAGGATAATTTTATTTAAATATCTTAAAATATAATTCCTGTACATTAAGCTTTTTTTTTTTTGAGGAGGAGGATTGCTTAGGCAAACTAAATAAGGGATTAGTTACATACTGTTAATCATAGGTAAAACAGCAACACATGGGATGAACAGACAAGCTAGGAATACAAGAAAAAGTGATGGATTAGATGGAGCAAAATTAATGTGATTAATGTGCTTAGATTTTTCTTTTTGAAGTGGTTAATTTCAGCCTATGTACATTGTATGGTCTACCACGTGATAACAAGAAATACAGACCCTTCTTTTCAGTAGCACAGAGTATTAAAAAAAAACACTTCTGCAAAAGATGTAGAAACTCTAGGTAAATGCCCCTATAGCAATCTAAAAATAAAGATGTTTCTAAACTGAATAATGTCTTTGAGACAATGCAGCAATGTGTATTTCTGAAAAGTTCAGTTGTGCAATTGAAGGGCTGAAATGGAAAGTTAATCTTCCATACAAATTAAAGACAAAGAAAATGGAATGTCTGCTTCAGGGACTCCATACAGTGTCTAGCTATTCATTTGTCACAAGTGAGAAAATGTTTAATCGGTTTTGAAATGATGTATTCTCTCTTTATTTATCGTGTTTAGTGACTTTAAAAGTGTCAGTATGTAAAGTGTTTATCCAAGGAATGGATTTCTGGCACATGGATAAAATGAAATGTGAAATGTTTAGCTCACAATAGGCATATGTTCCAAGATCTCTCTGAGTAAGTATCCTGAGATGTGAAGAAAGCACACAGGTCTGTGTTTATCTAGCTTACGCAGGCAGACAAGGAAGGCTCCAGCCTGGTATTAACACTGAAGTGACATGGAATGTCTTCACCAAACCCCAAACAATTACATCACTCCCTTAACAATATTGATAAAGTGCAATAAAAAGGAACCTGGCACTTTCCAATTAGACCTTTGTTGCTAAATACTTGAAATCCTGTCAAATACTTGACAAGTATAAACTTTTTTTTTTTAAAGGGGAAGGGGCAGTGGGGGATGGGAGGAGAAAGGGCAAGGGGAAGGAAAAGTCCATGAGGTATATTTTAAGCTTCTTAGACTTAATACAAGTGAAATAATTTTATGGAATTTTAGAATAACTTGCATCTCCTTCTGTCCTGTGTCCCCCTAGCTATGTGGCTGAAATACTGAACTTGAACCAGATATTTGTGATTGCAGGCTAGATTGGTGAAGTGATCCTCTATTAATATTAGATATTGATTGCCTTGTTTTCACTCAAAATTAAGATATCTCACACTTGCATCCTCTTAATTTGTGGCCATTTGCTTTGCCACATTTGCCAGAAAGTTTGTAATCATGGAGTTTTTTTCCCCCTCAGACTGGAAAGAAAGTGTTTATGGGTTCTGTTGTTTGGCAAGAAAACTGAATTTAATGTAATTATAAGGATCAAAAGTTGATCACACTGCCTACCTCAAAAAGAAATGGTGGTTAAATTCACAATTTTTGAGCCATTAATCACAAAAATGCAATAGATATCTCCCGCCCCACTTCTTAACACCGTTTTATATCCTTAATGATAACAGAACAGACAAACAGCACCTGACTTTGTTACTGGTACATGATTAGGCTGATGGTTGGCTTCTGTCTTCTTGTACTTGACTCTTGCCCAAGTTTGTGTGAAGTGGGAAAGACAGGGGTACTGAAAATGGCAGTCTCTGAAGGAGCACCTTGGATTCTCTTCTGGATGGAGTATCAGTGGCTTCACTGTCTGTCAATGTTTAGTTTATACCCCTCTTATGTACAATTCCAAAGTTTGGTGGTTCAATTTTCTTTTTTAAAAACAGACAATTGTCCGGCTTTCCAAAATCTATGACACGAGAAGCTTTAGCAGGAGTTTCTACCATCAGAGCTGTCTGCCCGCAGTAGAAACACATTAGGATCACTATACAAGTTCAGCTTACAGCCTTTAAGTCCAGGGGCATGTTTAGAGTGTGGAAGGCCTCCGTTTACTAGTGCTATCTATTTGGCAAACAATTAATCATCTGATTTGAAGTCTGGTACAGTAGCTGGTCTTGTTGGGCTCAGATCTAGGTGAACCATAACAGACTTACACAGAGAATTTGACATCTGTCAGGACCAATTAATTGCACTGAAATTGACTGGATTTCATTTACATAATCTCTGTAAATATAATTCTTGCAGTAGCATGTGTTCACTGACCTTATAGATTGCTTCTGTTTAATAAAGTTTAGCTATTTTATTGTTTTGAATTGAACTGTGAAATGTAAATACAATGAATCTTTTAAACTCAGGGCTCTTTATATGGATTCCTCAAATTTCATAGATTTCATAGACATTAGGGGCTGGAAGGGGCCTTGTGAGATCATCAAGTCCAGCCCCCATGCCATAGGCAGGAAGTCAGATAACTGAGGGCTACATAAAACAAGTGCATGTTGCTGCTGATCCCCAGTGAAGGCCAGATAAACATGGCCACGGTGATACTTTCTGTCCTTTTTACTATTGATTTTTATTTGGTAAGATAATTTAGTGTAGTTTACTCCTTGTGAAACCTAAATTTGCTGTGTGATGGTAATAACATTTACTTGCATTATAAAAAAACAGATTTCTGCATGCTGATAAAATTAGCAGCAGGGGAATCTGGGATGAGTGTAAGTGGATCTGAAATAACTGTCTTCCTATTTTAGGAAGTTTTTGATTTGGTTTGTTTTATTATATGGTGCAGGTATATTTACATTCCAAAGATTGTTACATTTCAAAGTGCTTCCAAAGTGCAGTCTCTAAGGTACCCCTTCTGTTTTAAGACTGTTTTAATAACATGTTTTGCCATGTTCTGGTGCTCTCTTTGCTGTAGCAACAAATTACTTTAAATTTCAGAGTGGAATGTTTGCCTTTAAAACTCCTTGGAAAATAATGTGTGTCTAACACCCTATCTTTGCATGCATAAGACTTCTGTCAGCTTCAGTGAGCATCAGACATGGTAGGCAACCATGGTTTACACCTGCTTCTGTGCTGACAAGTTGATGACACCTAGAGAAGTAGCAGACAGAATGGTACAACAGTATTGCTGAAAAGCAATACCTAATTATGTAGTACCTAAGCCTTTAAAATCTTGACTGTTCCTCCTATACCACTCCCTGTTGCACAATGCTTTGCAGTTTGCCTTTGTAGGATATCTAATACTAAAATGAAAACTGAGCTGATGCTTTAAGTAAGTGTTGAAAGCTTCCACCAGCAGGAATGAGACGAGAGATTTGTGTTTAGCAGAAAAATAAAAATGTAACTGAAAAGCTAGAGTTTATGGCTGGACTCTTTCCCTTTTCAGTCCTTTTCTCCACTGTGTTTCTTGCTCCTCCTACTCTGTGTGATCTTCTATTCATCCCATGTTGTTTCTTTAACTGTACATCTTCTTCCCACTGGGCAGCTCTTATTACATGAGTAATTCACAGTAGGAATTTATAGATTGTAAGTATACATTCATTGCAGGAGAACAAGGGAAGTGCTCAGTGGGGGAAGGAAATGTTAGCAGAGGAGCTTCAGGATTTGCCATACAAATTGACTCAGTGGTCATTCTAGTTTTGTAATTCTATCTATGACAGTGAAAAATACTATGGCAAGTAAATGCCCTGGAATGGACACTTGTGCTAAGTACAGAAGGTCAAAAAACCTGAGGCTGACTTGATTCAATCTTTGAAGGTTAGTCTAAGTTGCATAGATTGAACCAATAAGCAAGTGAACAGACATTTACTTTTGATCCAGCCACATGCCTGCAGCAGCCCAAGCCAGAAGCAAGAGGGTGCTAGAGTATGCCTCCCTGCTGGGCTGGAGCAGACAGTTTGGGCCAAGGTTAGCCCACCCACCCTGTAAGGGGGCAGTTTGCAGGGGAGATGCAAAGCATCCTGGGGGACTGTGAGTTAACTTGAATCTGGAGGGGATCTGGGACAGAAGTTCAATAACCTGATTTAACCTAAATCAGTTAAGTGTGATACTAAATCAATTCAGGCTTATCTTAAACTGGTCTTAGCAATTCTGAAAGTGGTTTATATACACTGAACTTCTGTTGCATTACAGATTTAAACTGTTTTCTGATTGCTTATACCAGGTTGTGTAATTTCTGTCCCTAGACATACGGAATCTCACATAAACCTTCCACTTAAACCCTGATGGATAGTGGCTGCCCTGAGAAGGTTGACGTCCTTTTATGAAATTTTCTTCTTTACCTAAAGTATGCAAGTCCTTATCCATTTGTATACTTGTTTTTTAATGCCACAAAACATTTAATCTCAATGATTTCCTCTGTGTTCCACCATTTAATGGTTTTGTTTTAAAAAAACAAAAACCTCTTTTTAGTCTAAATTTGTAGCTTCTAATGTCAGTGAGTCATTTCAAGCACTAACATTTCCAAAATATTTTAGAGCAACTAGGAAATGTTTTAGAGAACTAGTTATAAATAACATAAATTGTTTCTTGTTGGAACAGTTAGTTCTACAACTTGTGAGGAAGTTCTGTTAGACTTCTGGCAAATGAGAAGCCAGAGTTCATTTACAAAACAACTATAGTTGAGCCATTTATTATATCTGTGTTACTGAAACCAAGTTCAGTATTTTTGGGGAAAGGAGCACAAGTATTGTGTCACTTAACTTAGAAGTAGAAATTTCCAAAGCATTAAAAAGCTTGTCAAGAACATCCTAAATCAAAAAGTACAGCAATTTAATCTCTGGCTTTTGGCATACTTGCTTTTTGACCGCCACTACATGTTTACCAGGTGGCCTCACTGAGTAGTCCACAATTGTACCAAAACCTAGAGCTGTTAGAGTTGAACTCGTTGGTGTGCGTGATGTAGCTCCATTGTTTGTTACCAAAGTGCATACTCTGTGCAAGTGTAATTAGGTTTCTCTGTATTTCTTTGTAGTTTATTCTTGTTACAGATGTTGTCACTTGATTGGCTTCCCACTGCTCCCAAATTTGGACCTGGAGCAGGACAAGAGGAAGCAATGTAGGAAGGATTGATATTTTCCTGCACATGTTATATTCCTTTTTATTGTCAGGCCATTTTAAGTGGTACAGTTTGATCAATATCCTATTATCCTGGACATGTGAAAGAGAAGACTACATGCAAGGGAAGTGGTCAATTTTTAGGATGCACGCTTATGAACTTATCTGGAGCACGTCTTGTAATAAACTGCAAAGATACTATCATCATCTCCCTCTTCTACAGAAAAAGCCAAGAGTTCAGGGAATGCTTTAAAGGAGCCATTATGCTTTACTTTTCTTTCACATATATCCAAAAAAAATCCTCTCTTCCTTCAGTGGAAATTGGGTTGGAGTCTCATACCATTCATTGGAGCCTCATACCAGGTTAAGCAGCAAATGAAGTTTCAAAATTTTACATTTAAAATGTATATTAAAGCCTAAGGGCCTGACTCAATAGTTGTGGAGCATGGATTCATCCTTTATGGGGTGTTTTGCATATTCAGTGTACATCTGAGATCTTAAATAATATTTACCCAGATGTCCATGCACACAATTTAATCCACTATTCAGTCTTTAAGGCATGTCTTAATGTCATATCTATATGGACTCTGATATGTGTGGTGTTTTCTACTTAAACTTACAGAAGTTTATTATTTATTTAAATTTTTAAAATAAACTATATCTTGCCCTGTTAAATAATTCTGGTCTTGATCTTACAATGTACTTGAAAGAAGCATTATAGCATTAATGGAGCTCCTTCCATGAGTGAAGTTTATATCTGGAAATTCAATTATTCATATAAAATTAAAATAATTCTGTAAAAAGTCACATTGCCTCACATGCATATGTAACTCCTTATACATCAAAACATGGGTTTCAGTAATAGTCTCCTGTATTCTAGGTGATGAAGATGAGGTGACATCTGGAGGAAAGTTGGAACTTAACATAGACAAAGCGTCCTAACTTGTTGCAGTAAAACCAGCCGATTGTCAGATCACTGATGTTGAATTTTATTTAACCTCAGTGTTTTGTATCTGGCATCTTCCTGTTTGTGTAAGGTAAACTGGCCAAGGGGTTATTAAATATGTTTGAAGCTCATATGTTAGTCTCGCCCCCCACCCCCCCAAATATATATATAAAAATTAAGTTTTCTGTTAGATTTGCTTTTGGTCTTGACTTTCAAAGTTTCAAAGTACACACGCACTTGTATGTGTTTGATTTGTACATACATGCACCGCAATTACAGTTACACATGTGATTTGTCATGTGTCCACAAAACAACACAGTTGGCATGCCATACATATAGCATTTGTATGGGTGTAATGCCATGTAGATCACGTTGTGAAAAGAGAATTTTTCATCTATGCAAAGCAAGTAAAGTTGTACTGGATTAAAACCAAATATTTGGTGTGTTCAGTGAATTACAAAGATAATTGAGCCACATTTTTAGTAAGAAGAACATTTGGAGTATGTTAACAATCATTTTAATGGTACTGGAGGAAACTCAAGAAAGTTTTAACAAGACAAGTCAAAGAATGTTAGGTTTTCTGCTCCAGTACCTGACTGATCTTGTTGTTCAGTCAGGCTGTGTGCTATAGAATTTCTGAGGGATGTTTGCTTTGTTAATTGATAGCAAATGGCATTCATTTTTACCTTGAAGTTTATGAATAAGAGTATGCATGTAAATATGGAAATTAACATAATGTCATTTTAAAAAATAAAATACTAACCATACGAGTGAACTACAATATATATCTCCCCTCCTTCTTTGTTCCCTTGAATTTTAATTGTCTAGCTTCATTATCAACATTTTTTCTAGTGACTAATTAATAATCTTCCTCAATGTAGCTTCTCTGGTAGTAGTAGTGAAAGACATTAATACACCGACAATTAAACAGCCTCAAATCCTGTTTTTTAATGCATTTTTTAATGAGGAGAATTTTTTTTTTTTAAATCCCTCAATAGTCGTAAGGCATTAATTTAACCTTTAGGGGGTTTTGTTGCTTAAGCCACTCAAACAGTCTGAAGTCTAAGCATTTTGATCCATATTCTGAATGTCAAGTACCACCTTTGGCTGGCTTTGCATACCTAGCTGACATTAATTGAACCCGTGTGACTGTTTGAAGGAAGAATTTGGGCCTAACAATTGGTCAAACACTCTGATACCCTAAAATGGTCATCTTGAAAGGAAATCTTTGTAAAAATATGGATATCTTAATTTCAACCACAACTAAGATTTTTGTAAGACATTTCCCAAAATCATAGTGAACCTGATCCTTGGGTCTGGCCAAAGTTGTACAAAATAGTAATCATAGACAGTGTGTTCATGTGTGTGTTGTGGGGAGGAGAAACAACTCTACACCGCTGTTGCCAGGCTGGCACTGGCCAGGCTGCAGCCCTGTGCCCACTGTCAGTGAAGAAGTTGGGGGAGGGTAGAAGGGGGGACATGTGCCCCCCTTTCTGCCCCCCATCTTATTCATGGTATTAATAATGATCATAAGCTACCTTTCCTTTCCTATGAAGGCAAAACTGTTTTTGTGCTATTTTATGGCACCAACTGGTATAGTTGGGATACCAGTCGGAGAAGCTTTACAGCACCAGGTGTCCTTCAGAATTACTGTCACAATTTAGAGCAATCTTCTGATTCTGCGAAAAGGATTGTTCTGTCAGCCGTGTGTTGCTGAAGCACTTCGTGTATCGTCTTTGCCCAGTAAACATCTATAACTGAAGGACCAAAGATTGAGGGAAAAGGAACAATTTTGTCATCTTTAGGTCATTTGAGGATTCCCATAGAACAATATAACAGAAAACTAGGTAGTAGAAGGCCCTATTGTGCTCCAGTGTTTTGATAGGATACCAACATATTTGAAGGGCATGATGGAATAAATACATTAAACAGAACTGACAGTACTGGGCAATTGGGATCCATAGATGTCCTTACATTTTAAGTGTTAGCTGTCCATCATTGCATTTAAAATGGGTAATAGACCAGAAAATATGGCTGCTACATATCTGTTAGTTTTATCCTTTATGTTGCATCTTTACTAGCAGAAGAGGAAATTCTCCAGAAGTTCTTCTAAAATTGTACATTTTTTCACTAAGTTTATTGGAGATGGAGATAAGGAAAATGGTTTAGAACACAAAATTATGCAAATAATGGAAAACTGTTTTGGAATGGCGGTGCGGGGGGGAAGCTCTTGAGACCTTCGTTTGTTTTCTGAGAACACTATTACTAAATCTGTATTTACAAAATGCAAGTTGACAAAAGTAGAAGATGAATGGCTCCTGGCAGTTAATATGCCATTATTAAAAACAAAGACTTTTTCTGCCTAAAAACTATAATTTTCTTAGCCAATTTTTAAAATGCATTTGCATTTTTACAGTCAATTGTTTTCCTCTTTTTGGCCAAGGATAGCATGAGGGTAGTCAAAGCAGAGCATAAAAGTATTGTCAATACCCTAAAACCATAAGAAATAAAACCATAAGAAATAGACAACTTGGGCATCTTTGCCTTTTGAGTCCCATCCCTCCCCCACTCTGTAATTTGCCACGTCTTAAACTATAAGGTTGGTCCCCATTTTCCCTTTACCTCTGAAGAGGAGGAAAATGCTCATTTTCACCTGTATGAGCTGCTTGAGGCCATGCAAATCCTAAAACCAACCTTAATGCTATAGATGAAATTTCCATTATTACATTTTCTCTTTAATACATTTAGAAGTTTACAGAGAAGAAAAAAATCTGTAGAGGCATTTTGCTGTAGGCAAAAAAAAAGAAAAGAAAGAGAGAGCATGTGCTAAATGTGACAATTTGCTTGACTAACTTGCCATGGAGCAACCCTAACTACTTGCTATCTGTTGTAATCCTATTCTGATAGCCCCTTTTAAATTCAGCACTGATTCATATATCCTGCCATTCAACTTAGCCCTTAAAATAAAACTCATGTCAATTTAAATAGAGCCCTAATTTTTTTGTACATGTATTCTTCTTATTTGTGTGCATATACTGTGGGATTTCTGATCAGTTTTACCTGTGACCATTCATCACTTGCTTACCATGTACTTTATGACTTGGATAAACAGATCATCTGATGACTGGTTATTCTGAAATTCAAAATCCTGTATCACTGGTCTAGGAAGGAAGTCTCAGAAGATACTAGTCTAACCTCATCACTTGTTTAAATGAGTCTGGATAATATTGTACATTAACAATTGCTGATCATTTAGTCTGCAAAACTGGAGTAATCGAGAACATCCAGACATATGTAAGCATTGGAAATCCTTCATTTGTTCAACAATATAGAAGAGGAT